TGTTTAGGAATTAAAATTATCAGGCCAGAGATCTATCCATTTATTTATAAATAGGTCTACATGAACAAATGAACAACTAGCTTTTGGGGTTTTTCAAGAACTTAAAATATCACAACGCAGCAATATTATTTTGGCATTCTTAAATTTTCTAAATGATTTTCTGAGAAAAAATCAGCAAATAAGAAGCACATGAGGTGGGATAAACTGTATTCAAAGTCGTGCATGAAATGTTTTGAAGCAGAGAAAAATTTTGTCGAAGTATATAAAGTGAAGTAAACAAATTTTCTCACTCATAGTAGACTAGGACTTTAGAAACTTATAAACAGTTAAGAAGTCTAAACCTTAAATAAAATTAGCCAAATATTTTAGGAATTTTGAAAGACTCAATATGAGAGTTATAACAGTCCCATTTTAGGTATTAGTTTAAATGTATTCTCCCCAGTGTATTTAGTAGATTTGATTGCATGTTAACTTTAAGTTTGCTTCAATTTCCCTTCTGTCTTATACATAACCATCAGAGTAAACTTTAGAAGAATATCTTTTTACTACTAACCTTCCAAGCAACTGCTAAGTGGCTTCTCTTTTCCTACTTTTATGAAGTCCTTAGTCCTTGTGCCTTCCCCATCCCTTTGAACAAAATGACACATTTATCAAAACACACAGGCCACAGGCAGTGTCATCCCCTCCTCATCTGCTTCCTCGCTTTTATTATTATTTTTTTTTTGGCCACTCTTCCACTCATGTACTTCCAAGTGAGCTCTTCAGTTTAAAAAAATTGTCAATAATTAAGTTGGCTTTTTTTTAAAAAATAATGTGTTATTGCTTTAATATTTTACTACAGGGCACAGATTTGGCTAGAATGTGCTAGCCATGTGTATTGCTGATCTTTTCACAATAGCTAGGAAGTGAAAACAAATATCCCACAAGGGATGAATGGATGATGAACATATGGTCCACTTACACTACTGAGTTGGCATTTTGATTGAGATTGCATTGCATTTTAGATTCCTTTGGTAATACGAGCATTTTCGCAATGTTAATCGTACCAATCCATGAGCGTGGGCTGTGTTTCCATCTTCCAGTGTCTCCATCAGTTACCTTTTTGGTGTTTCTTTTTTTTGTTTTTTACTTTTTTGGTGTTTTAAAGTTTTTATTGTAGAGGCCTTTTACCGCCTTGCTTAGGTTCATTTCAAAGTATGGTGTGTGTGTGTGTGTGTGTGTGTGTGTGTGTGTGTGTGTGTGTGTGTTTTCTCTGTGGTGAATGGAAGTTTCTCCCTGGTTTCTTTCTCAGTGTGTTGGCCATTGGTGTATTGGGAGGCTGCTGGGATTTTTATGTTAATCCTGTAACCTGCCATTGTGCAAAGGTTTTTATCAACGTTAGAAGATAGACACAGGTTTTAAGTTTTCTTTATACCCGGTTCTCATAATTGTAGTCATGGCTACCATTTCTAACACTTTTCTCTTTCTCCATTTCCCAAGAATTCCTTTTTTGGTCTATGTCTCAACTACATAATATTAGTATTTTTAAATTCCCTTTAACTTTTCACTAGTTTATTGTATTAATGATTATTAATGTCTGAAATGCATCCATACCTCAGTAAAATGGCTGATAATGATTTATAAATGTCTGCATAGAGTTAAGGGTCATCTGTATATACTAACCATGGGTATAAAATAGGGCATATGTGTGAAAGAGGTGTTTGGGGAGGAGTGCTGAGTTCATAGCACAAATACATGGGTTCAGTGGTGGAGTGCCTACCTAGCATGTGCAATACTATGGTTTTCATCTCTAGTGATGCAAAGAATGGAAAAATAAAATTATTTTTTCTCTATTTTGTCCCATAGAAAGGAAGATATGATTTTTAACTCTCCATACTTCTGCATAACCTCCTGTGATTTATTAAAAGAGGACATTTTGAATACTGAAATTTATTAGACAGATTTTCTGTTATATATAAGCTTGTCTATCCCTGTAAACAAGTGATGTACTATTTCATTTATATTTAATATTGAAAGTACCTAAATGTATTTTCACTCAAACACATTTTGTGGTATCAAAAATAACTCTCTCAAATTGTTGGCCAGAACTCAAAGTTATGACGTCGTTCCCCGTTAATTGTACCCTTGTTTGCAGCATGTCATCTGCACAGGATTGTGGTGCAAAGTAGAAGGTACAGAAGAGTGCAGAACCAAGCTTGATCCTCCAATGGACGGGACTGACTGCAGCCCTGGGAAGGTAAGTTGCCTCCCCTGCCTAAGTTAGTAAGAAAGAAATAAAACCTGAAAAACATGATAGTTGCATCTCCATCCATCTGAACATTGGTCAGATAATTTCAGTATACCAAAATGTTAATATTTCAACTACATTTAATTTTAACCTTTGTGAGTTTTCATATTCATGGTTGTTTTGTTAATACTGAAATGGTGAATTTTTATTAATGTTGATAAGTATTATGCTGACAGTCAAGAATAAATACTACTTTCACCAAAATGTGAATTCATATTCTTTTACTATTCAAATAAACATAAATGAAACAATAACAGATAATAGAATAAAGAGTAAAATTTCCCAGACCAATCCATTCTTAAAAGTATAAAATATTGTCTCAGAAGTACAACTACCTATAATTTTTCATTTGTCAATATAAGCATCATCAATAAAATAATCAAAATAAATCTCAAAGATTAATTTTAAAATAATTTTTAGTAGCTTAATATTGGAACTTACTAGTACACATTTCAAGATCAAAACCACATTTCCTATAAGGAATATTGAGTAGGTGGGTCTTTCTTGTATTTACTTACAATCATGATTAATCAAAAAGTAGCAGGTCAATAAATAAATTTTTAACCTCTATTCTATGACAGCACTTTGGACTGGCTCTCTCTCCCTACTCATTAATTGTAAGATAAGAAACTTTGCCCTGAAGAACATGACTGTTCATTAAAGTAAACCATAACATAAAACCTACAAATCACTTGAAGTGAATCACTTAAGAAAAACTAACTTGCATGAAGTGCTTGTTTAAAAATCATCAGTTTGAAAAATGCATGGAAGTCTAGAAATTCTCCTTCTAGAATGTCCTACATACTAATCCTTATGCATGAAGATGTTTCTACATGTACTCTCACACACATGCAGATATGCCTGTGCGGTGATGCAGTTACAATGTGAGGAGAGGAAGGGTGATGGTGGGTTGTTATAAAAATGAGGTAGATGGGTATTAACAAAGATAACTACAAGATAATTCTGTTTAAATGGTCATATCAGAAATACTGATATTCCATAATACCACTTACGGTTTCCTGAAAACAGGGTGCCTGCAGATGTAAATATATGCACAGAGTTTTTACACTCATAGAAAATATTCCGAAAATGTTAAGAAGTAGGCATGGGTTCCTGGGCCTGCTATTGACAGTGGATAGTTGCTGGGGAGGGAGAATAGTTCCGTCTTGAGGATGTGGCCACTGGTAGGGTTCCCATGCCATATTGGATGGCCCCACACCTGTGTACATATGGACAGCATTAATAAGACTTAGTGGATTATCAACAACCACAAAAGGAGAAGCCATGAAGCTTGGAGGGGGATGTGTTTGGGGAAAGAAGGAAGGAGTTGGAGGAGGGAAATGGGGGAGTGACATAATCATATTTCATTTTATACATGTAAGAAACTGCCAAAATAAATTTTAAGTGAGTGCATTGCCTGCATGTATGTAAGTGCAGTCATGTCACTCAATGCCCACTGAGGTCAGAAAAGGGTGTCAGATTCCCCTGAAACTGAAGTCATGGATAGTTGTTAGCTGTCATGTGGGTGCTGAGAATCAAACCACAGTCCTTTACAAGAGCAGCCAGTGTTCTTAACTGCTGAGTCATCTCTCCAGCCCCAAGAAAAATTCTTAAAAGAGTGTACTCTTTGAATTATATCTCAATATGTGACACTTTTTTTAGACAGGATCTCATTATGCAGCCCTAGCTGGCCTGAAACTCACTATATAAACCAAGCTAGTCTCCACCTAACAGAGATCCATCTACCTATGCCTTCCGAGTGCTGGGATTAAAGGTGTGCAATCCCACCCTGAAAGTGGGATTGATGGATGGGGTTCGGCAACAGGAGATATGAGTGAACACGGCTATTTGAAACCATTCCTGAACTATTTAGTATAAGCATATACTTTATGATTTCTTTAATTAAAAAAAGAAAAAATACACATTGTTTACATTGAACCTACTTTTGAAAAGTCTATAAGGGCCTTATCACTGAATACTCTCAGTAAGAAAATGCTCCCTGGACGAAACGTCTGTGAACTATCAGTAAGTTTATAGCCTGTGTCAAATATCTTTTATATGAAATTAAATGGAGAAAGAAGGTTTGGTTCTGTTTTGTTTTTCTCAAGTCATACACAGAGGTAAACCAATGTGGGTTTATCAAGGAAGTCTTATGATAGCATTCTGAACAATTTATTTCCTGAACCATAAAACTGGAAGGGCAATAGTTTGCATCACCCCTGAAACACAAACACAGCCCACAGGGATGATTAAACGCTGTCAGGATCGCTTAAACAGAGCACAAGTCATTCTTTTACTTAGTTCCTCAACTTTATAATCTGAACTTCTGAATACTTTTCTACTAGAATTTTGTCTTCTCCTTGTTAAGAATAATCTGTGTCCATAAAATCTCTAAAGCAAACATTCTTTCAGCCATCAAAAGTCTAATTACTCATAAAAAATGAGATGTTTTCCTCTATGACAGTGTTATGGATACTCTTTTAGAGGATCTGAAATGCTTTGTGTCTTCAAGTAACTGATGAACTTCTCATTTCTTCTGGCCATGTGTACCACATGTGCCAGCTGTTGTAGGAGCCACCATACAGACAGCTGCCAAACTTGCTGCTGTGCTTATCAGTTCTAAAGTAATTAAATGCTTACGAGCTAAACTAAATGCTTCTGGGTATGTGTGATACAGATAGAGAAACGAAACTGGAATTCTTGCTTGCAGTACCTTGGTGTTATGAATTGAGTTGTATAGTTCTGTTATTCTGATGATTTTGAAGATAGACATGTACATGCTATTGTAGATAGCATTTTACAGAGTATAAGAAGCAACCTGCTTTCTTTTATTTTTATATCATCACCTTTGTATCATTTCTAGCATTTTACAATTAACAGTACAGAAATTCATGAGTTAGTAGATAATTTATTTTATTTCAAAGCAATACTATTATTTTACTTATGGTGTTTGCTTAGAAAAGGAAGAGAGGAAAGGAATGTTCAATAGAAACAATAGAATTTAAGTTGTGTTGAAGGATTCTGTATAACCTATTTACTTTTTAAGATACTTGGAATTGCTCTCATCATCTACTGGACACACTGATGATTTTCATGTGCCGACCACTGCAGTGAGCATGTGTAGACAGCTCTCTGTCCACCTTCTACCTCTTTTCAGTTCCACCGTGTACAGACGGTTCATTTAGTGGGTGGCTAGGCTGGTTTGACTTCCTCACAAACCTCTCCCAATTCTGTCCCTATGAACCTAATTGGCATGTCCACTTAAAAAAAATTCATATAGAAATATAATCAGATATTTTAGGGCATATCTTGCCCTAGAAAATAATCAATACTATCTATCCCATTAATAATTTTGTAAATCTGAGTTTGTAGATAAGAGGATTTTTGAGTTTTTAAACCATGTGTGGTATTTTTTGAGGTTACAAATTACAAACATATGGTATGAAACATGTTGCTACCAAACTTGTGGAAAATATCATTAGGAATATATTATATAGTAATTTAAGCAAAACATCTGACACTTTCCTAATATGGAAGCTCAGCACCACCTAGATGACACAAAAGTAGGCCCGTCTCCTTTGATCCAGAGAGCCAGTGCCTGCACAATGACAAACTTCAGATTTTCTAGTATGTTTTCTTTAAATATCACTGGTTTGCATATGCACCTCAGCTTGCATATCTGTTTTCATTTTTCTTCATCTGCCAGATATGATCTAGTTTAAATTATATGCAAGCTAGGTCCCAGTCTTTTGCAGAATATTTTTAGTTTCCTGTGAACTCTTGCCCAGTCTGTCAATGCCAGCTTGCTGCTAAATGGGCAAGAGCTGTGATACACACCCTGGGAAAAATAAACACCCTACAAGCAGGCCAAGCCCTGTGACCAACTCAAGTTTGACAGTTTTCACACTGGAATTTTTCCATGAGTGCCGTGACATTAAATTCTTAAAACCAGTGAGTAATGCGAGAGCTTTCACTTTGGTCCACTTTTTTCTGGGTTTTTTTAAAGTTTTCAGATTGTGTCTTCCTACAAAATTTGAGTTTATTGACTAACAAACTTGGCATGCTCCATCCTGTTTTGTTGAGGCTTACTTCTTCTCAAGATGAAAATTTTAAATTACTTAATCTAAGAAGTTGAATTTATTTTTGACATCAGAAAAATTCACAGGGATTGATTGGGTTTTGCATATACGAGTATCAGTTGAGCTGAAATAAATGTCTTCTAATCTTTTAAAAACTGTAAAACGTATTATCAAAATAAATTTTTTAATTTTTTTTCATGTTTTTTTGAGACAGAGTCTCCCTGTAGCCCTGGCCTGGAACTCACTATGTAGACCAAGCTGGCCTCAATCCCACAGAGATCTGCCTGCCTCTTTCTCCCACAGGCTGGGTTTAAATTCATGTACCTCAACCTAAATTTATTTGTTTTTATGGATATGAGTGTTTTGTCTACATGTATTTAAGTGCAGCATGTGCATATAATGCTCTCAGAAGCCAGAAGAGAGTGTCAGATCTCCTACAACTGGAGTTACAAACAGTTGTTAGCTGCCATGTTGGTGCTGGGAACCAATCCTGGGTCCTCTGCAAGAGTAGCCCATGCTCTTAGCCCCTGAGCCATCTCTCCAGCCCCTTAAAATAATTTTAAATTCAGAAATTAATAAAGATCTGAGTAAATAGAATTTTAGTTTGGTTTATGAAAGTTCATTAACAGCATTATTGCAATGATACCTACAATAATATATTTTTGCTGACCTTTATGAAAGGTCACTTGTGTTGAAGGGTAACTTCCTAAAAAAGGGTAACTTCCTAAAGAAGCCTTTCAGGTGAATGGCTAAATGAAAGTCATTCCCAGCTTGGAAATGAACAAGCTGGCAACCAGCGTTAATTGTACTTCCCTCATACCTCTGCAAATCTTGATGCCCTTGAGTGCTGGGAATTCTCCGGGGCCTGAAGGATCACCTCTCCCAGCCCTGTCATTTTACAATTACTGATCTAAATGGACCTTATTTTTCAAACATTATTCTGGGCACAGTTGTATTGCCTTTCACCTGTTTCCTGAGACAGTGTCTATGTGATTTTCAGGAGAAATCATAATGCTTTTGGTCACATACTCTTGGCTACCAATCCTCAATAATCACAGAAATAAACTTCTGTACGGCTGCTGTTTACCTTCATGGAAAAGATGCTTAAAATTTTAAAAAGAAAGAAAACAGGAAGACTACACTCCATTCATGTTCTCATGGTAACTCTTCCCAGTTAAGGATATTAAATTAGCAGTGGCATATGAAAGCCAAATGCAGAATTCCACAATCCAATTGCCCAGATCTTTCAAAACTGACTTTCAAAAGAAAGCTTTCTGTGGTATTAGTGGGAACTTCTTCAGGAGTAAAAACAAACAAACAAACAAAAAACCAACAACAACAAAAAGAAAGTGCTAAAATAAAGTCATACTTTCAAATTTCAAAGCAAGAGTAATCTGATTTTCTGATATTTCAAATCAAAATTAAGTTTGCTGAAATCTCTGCTTTAACCTAGATACAGGTGGATATATTTTTTATCTTTATACACATGACTATTCTTTTTGCTTTCTTTTCACTTTTTAATTTATGTTTCCTAGAATGTATTATTTACTATTTTCTGCTTTTGCACCCTAAAATTCCCTCTCCAACATTTCCACCTTACATGACCCTGAGTTTTCTGCATTATAGTAGCAAACCTCTGCGCACTGTTTTCATGACACCACCGTGTTACTGACCTCAGATCTATGAGAATGGGCTTCAATTTTGCCGTTATCAACTTACTTTAGTCTTTTCCGTTCTTCGTATTTTGGACTGTAGTGGACCTAATGAACTTGCATTAATTCCAGTGACTATGTAGGCCAGTAAATGATTTTCAGTTGTGCCCTGATTTGTTCACCTAAGACATGCCTTTTGGAATAGTGGTGTAAGGCTGGACAGTGCAGCAGCAGGCCCTCAGGACCTGAGCACCCCGCTGGGGAGTGGAGCACCTGGAGTTCCTGCAGCCGAACCTGCAGTTCTGGGATCAGCAGTCGCGAGCGCCAATGTCCTGGGTAAAGTCAAAGGTCCTGAATTTGCGGGATGGGGTTTTTTTTTCATCAGTTTTGAAATATAAAATTTTTACCAGTAAATTATATTGGAAAACACAAGAAATCGTTTCAACAGCAGTACACTTTGGGGGAAAAACATAAAAGCTCTCCTTTAAGAAACAGTAATGCCAGCCCCTTCTAAAAATAAGTAAGAGACTGTTTTTTGAGTAAGTTAAATAAAATGTACTTAGAGGAGCAGCAGGGGTGGGGGGGTGCATTAGAAAAGCTGAGAGAAGAGTTAAGGGAATTCTAAGAAAAGTAGGAAGTTGAGAGAACTTCAGAAGGGCAGAGAACGAGAACCAAAGGGAAGATGTCGAAAGCCAAAGCCAGAAACAAAGCACGTGCAGCTGGGGTCATTGCAAGGTCAGATTGTTCAATGCCTAGGAGATCCTAGGAGAGGGTAAGAGTCACTCAGCTTGTCCATGTGGAGTTCAGTAGCATAGCTCAGTCATAAGCAACCTCAAAGAAACGACTGAAAACACATCTTTAATTCTCCTAAGAACCTAATTTACTAATGGGCAAAGCCTTTAAATTTTACAATGAGCCTCTGTCCTTGAATTCTGTGTTTTACTTTCATCTGAAGTCAGCTCTTATCATCCATGTATTTTTAAAAATTATTTATTTAATAACCATATAATTAGAAGAAGGATTTCATTACAACAACATTGACATATTCAATAACAATTTCAGGAGCTAAGATGCATCTCTTTCAACCTTGGCTGTAAACTTTTAGGTTTACAGTTGAATTAATACAGTTATACAATATTATACTCCGTATAAACCGTATGAGACATAAAATTAAATGAGGTTTTAAACTTTAAAAAAGATCTCCATTTCAATATTAAAAGTTTCATACAGAAAAATTCATTTTTAATACAAGTGACACTAAGATGCACATGTGTTTCTAATCTCTTTATATCTGATTATTACTAGTCACAGTCAGTGATGAAGATTGAGATTTGTTTTATTTTTAAAAAAATAATAAGCTTATGAATTTCCTACTATTATCAATCATTTAATATAGCCAAGCTTTAAAAAAAAACATTTTAATTTAAAGGATTCTATTTTATAAATATAATGATTTTCAATTTTAAAACTTGGTACTTGTGTGAAAAAGATGAAATTGATTATATGTATTTTCTTTTTTAGGCCAGGCTCTGAACCAAGGGATTGTAATGGCCCCAGAAAACAATATAGAATATGTGAGAATCCACCTTGCCCTGCTGGTTTGCCTGGATTTAGAGACTGGCAATGCCAGGCCTATAGTGTTAGAACTTCCTCCCCAAAGCATGCTCTTCAGTGGCAAGCTGTCTTTGATGAAGGTAAGGTGGAACCATTCTCCACATCTGAATGCAAAGCATCCTTTAGTATAGTACTGCTGTTATTTTACAACTATCTTAAGGTCACTTGTGGACTTTGATCTTTTTCTAACTTTGCTGGTATATAACAACCACAGGACTAAGTATGCTTTAAAGTTATAGTGAGGAATAACTAACATTAAAATGTAATGAAAATATCACATACTGGTTAGGATGAATATATGGACATTGCTGATAGAAATATAAAATGATATAGGCACTTTGGAGAATAGTTTGGAAGTCTTTAAAATAATTGAAACTTACATTGAAAACTGTGGAACTTGAACACTTGGGTGATGGAATACTAGGCAGCAAGTGCTATGGAATTATGCAAAACTCAATGGATCTTAGGGCATCATGCCATATGAAAAATGCCGTCATGGAAAGCCGTATGTTATGTGACCCACGGAGACAACATTTTGACGTGGAAAAATTACAGAATGGAAAACAGATGATTGGTACCAGAGACTAAAGGGGGTGCTGGAGAAGGGATGCTGTTAATATGAACCCATGCGCTGATGGAATAGTTCAGTGTCTTGACTGACAGTGGTTACGTGCACCTATATGTGCTATAAAATGGCACCAAGTTATACATACACAGTTACCAGTGCATGCTTGAACTTGGTATTTTACTATAATTACTGAGATGCAGCCTTTGAGGGTACCTGAATGAATAGTGTTTGAGGCATTTCTCGACTATTTCTACAGTTTTCTGTAAATCTTTGATGAATTCTAAATAGGACTTTCAAGAACTTGCTATGCCACTTCCTTAGTTAGGGATGATAACACTTCCCCCAGGTGATGGACTTGGGTTGCAGTAGAAGAAGTGGTGATGGCCTCTCTGACTTCATCATACCTCCAGTCTTGCCTGCACTTCTTCTCTTAGTCAAGACAGACTGTGATTTCCATTGTTTCCTAAAGACTTTTGACAGCCTGAACTCCCCTGGCTCAGGGCTTCCCTTAATAAAACCACTCTTTCAGCTCAAGCACAGAGCACACAAATAGTAATGGGGTATTTCAGATTCTTCTACTACATAACAGACAATAAATAAATAAACCATCAGATGACCTCTCTGTCTCCCCACTATCGCAGACTGAGGCTTCACCCTACCCACAGACATCCATTCCATCTGTTTTCTACCATGCAGCAAAATGTTGATGCCTCTTTGCAAGGCCATTCCCTCCACTGCACGCCAGATGGCCAGCCTCTTTCTCCCCATCAGTTACCTACTTTCTTTTATATAGTTCAGCCCTTCAGTAAGATTATTCATTATCAATTCTTTAAGACATGGAGGCCTCTCTCACCAACATGTACAGACCATACCCCCAGTCATGGCCTCCCTGAGAGTGGGCTCACTTTTCTCCCTTCACAGCCTTCTGCCTCTTTATATCCAACCTGGAGTCCCCTCACAGAAATATTGATAACGTGCTTGAGGAGTCTCATGGAGATTAAATCTCATGCATGTATGCCCTCTCCTCTTCTTACTTGAGTTTCAGAACCATTGAAATGAGTGACCAGCCCTTGCAGATCACGCACTCCTGCCCCTAGGAGTTACTAACTCAGCAGAAAGCAGACCTACACCTCGGCTGCCATCTTTGCCTGTCCAGATGCTTTTCTATTATGTTTTCCTCCTGGAAACAGTTCAAATATGTAAATAGATCATGAATTCATGCCTTCAACCACACCTTGTGTGTACAACTGACTGCTTGATATTTGTACTCAGATACCTTAGGCCTAGTCAGCTCTTCTTTTTCTTTTCCTATTTCAGTGAACATAGCACTAAAGTTTCAGCTATGTGAAACATAATTAATGAGCTTTCTGTAGCTTTAATTTCTTCCTCAGTTGCCTCCATCATTCTTGTTTATAAACAGATAGATTTTACACCACCCCCAGGTAACTGCTGTTCACTTTTTGGAGCCCTTAGACCAAGGAGGTTTTTAGCATCGTATTCTTTAATTTGCAAGCTTTGCTTTCACTCCCTATTTTATTTGCCTTGAAACTTTATGATGTGGGGGAGAGCAAGTCAATTTTTACTAATTGCTTTAGGAAGCAAGAATTCCTCTGATCATTCAAATTGGATGTGCTCCTTCCATGTATCCCAAAAGCAACTTGTAAGAGCAAACTTTAATGTGTCTCTTTCCCTTCTAATATCTGTTCTGAAGGTTGTATCTGCCATATATTAAACTTCTGGTAAATTTTTATTACATAAATTTGTGTATATTTTCAATATCTTGTCTTTATAAAAGTTTATTCAATAAGACTGTTCACATTTTGGAAATTATCTGCTATTCTGAAGGTTTATCCTGTCATTATTTCTAATTGGATGTGGGATTTAATAAAGGTAAATCATTTGATACCTACTTACTCAAGAAATGAGTGAACAAGACAGGTTTCCTTCAGATTAAAGGAAAATCAGAGCCACAATGAGCATCAACTTAATGCTGTTAGAAATCACAGTAAATGGGGCCAGTGAGATGGCTCATTGGATAAAACTGCTCACCTCACAAGCCTGGTGACCCGGGTTTGATCCTAGAACACATGTTGGAAGAGGAGATAGACTCTGGAAAGTATTCTGACTTACAAACCCACCCCCAAAACACACACCATGCAAAGAGGAACAATAAATAAAATGCTTTAGAAAGAAATCATGATAAGGGGGCTGGAGAGATGACACAGTGGTTAAGAGCACTAACTGCTCCTGCAGAGGACCCGGGTTTGAGTCCCTGCACCCATATCATTACTAACAACCATCTGTAACCACTAACAACCATCTGTAACCTCATTTCCAGTGCACAGGGTACACTTGCATACATGCAGGCAATTCACTCATACACATAAAATAAAAATAAATCAAATATTTTTTAAAAAAAACAAATAATGATAAATTCCTGACTTTTAAAGCTATGTTTATCATCAGTGAGTCATACTATTTATACAATCAGTAAGCGTTAAAACATATTTCAACTGAGAGTGATAGCACACACCTTTACCCAGCACTCAGGAGGCAGAGGCAGGCAGATCTCTGAAAGATGTAGGCTAGCCTGGTCTACATAGTGATTTCCAAGCCAGCTGAGTCTACAGAGAGACCTTGTCTCAAAAATATATACACGCTCTCCGCGCCGGGACTCCCTAAGCGACATTCACTCTTCCATCCCCCGCCTCGCCGTTCTATACTCCTAGTTTGGGCCCTGCACCATTCCTAGTCTCGGGGCCCCAGACACCTGGGGAACCAATACTGTTTCCTGATCCTTCTCACCCAGAGCAACTCAGTCCTTTTCTTGGGCTCCAGGAGCACCGCTTCTGGTCCTGGCCC